AGGTAGCTCTCGTGTAGCTTTGTTACATATGTTATGAAATCTTCTGAATGAAATACGCACCTATAGATAAAAATAATCCTATGGCTAAGGCCCACAGTGGTATGTTTGCTGGACTTACAATACTAGAAACCGGGTTTCGATACCCGTGGTTGGCAGAGCACAAATAGCTCATTGTGTAGTTTTGTTCTTAACTTCAAACAAACAAACAAACCTCTAGCTAAGTTAAAAGGTGCGGCTACAAATCTCCTTCTTAGCCTGTTCTCTATCAGAAGGTGTTGAGAACGAATCTAATGCTTCAGTTTGGTGAGGATACGGCAGTCCTTAAAGAAGTGGATCTAGTGGGGAAGATTGCTTCACAGTCAAATGTTTTTGCCGGTTCCAGTTTTTCTGGGATACTAATCAGGCCTTTGGCCATTCACCCGCACCTCCTGTGTGTCTATATCTTTTTTTCTTATAGCAAAGCCACATCGGGCTATCTGCTGTGTCTGCCGAGGGGAATCGAACACCTGATTTTAGCAGTGTCAATCCGAAAACTTCCCGCTTACCTCCTGAAGATGACATTTTTTGAGGATGATGAATTTGAAGTCGAAACATTCTCAGATGAACCAAACCTTGAAAATCATATCTAAAAGTAACGTTTACTAAATATTGCAGAGTACGATTTATTAATAGAATATTAGAAATGACTTCAAGAACTAAAAGTCTAGTGGTTCTCATTCAAGTATTTTAAACGAAAATATTAATACAATACTAAGATTGCCTAACAAAGTGGTCTGTGAATATTGGACAATTTTGAGGAATTAATGATGTGCATAAAATGTCTGTCTTCTTTAAATGGCATTGCTTACCATGTCCAGAATAATATTTTTGAAATTCCTCTTAGATGCGTTTATACTTCTTGTTCTTGGTAAACGTTTTAACACTTTTAAGTATTTGTTACATTCTGTAATTTGTTGAACTTTAGCTTTTCTAAACCAAGGAATTTAACTTAGCACATGATTTTTTTCTCCATTTTTTAAAGTATTTTATTGGAATCTAGAGAAGCTATTCGTCTTATTCGTTATTCTGTTTCGAATTAGTATTCTATAATTTAAACTGTTTCATCTTTAATAAAGTTTGACTCACTGTGTACAGGTTGTGGTAGTCTTAAACACAACTTTCCTCACGTGACAAAATAAGAGTCTGAATCAAAAGGCTTAAAATAAATATAATAAACGACAAAAACAATCTTACGTTATTGATTTGAATACTGAAAATTAGAGAAACTATTAAAATAATGTTATGCACGTAATTAACCTTATAACAGCAAATGACCTTAAATTTAGATACCAAATGTTCAGTACTTCAAAGTAACTATTATTGATCAAAGCCAGTAATCTACTTTCCAGAATTTGATTAGTATGCAAAATGCTACATTATGAGTTATCTGTGCTCTGCCCACCATGGGTGTCGAAACCCGATTTTTAGCGTCATAAGCTTGCAGACTTACCACTGAATTGCTTAACGGCTCAGAATTCGGACTTTTTGAGTTCGCTCTAGTATATTCGAGTGATTTTTGGACTTCTATACAGGTTTGCTGAACTAAGGTTATCATTTTCGTATTTTATACAAAACATCCTATAAGGAAACATCTTTATATCTTTTGGCCTTAACCACCACAATAAGCCACTCAGCCATCTCTTGGGCTAATAGCTGTGGATCTTCTATTCAAACTAAGTATACCAAGTAAGTTTGAACTAATTGATATTATGTCGCTCTTAATACAGTGATGTTATTTTGTAAGCTAGAAAGGGTTTGTAATAATTAAGAATGAAGAGTGCCAGTCTTAATTTGGAAGTAATTTACCCAAAATATGTTTTGGATATATCAGCGATTATAAAATGAAATCTTGCTACACACAAATAACACAGCGCTAATCACTAGTCCTGTGTTACTTACTTAACATTTAGACAACTTAGTATTAAATATTACGTAGGTAATTCATTGTTATGTTACTTTGCTTTGCTGTTTATTCTAGAATAGTATCTTAAAGATATGAACTAATTAATTATATATATATATATACATACGCATACTGTTGAACAATCATATAGATACGCAATTGAAACTTTCAATGTATTTTCTAATTTGTGTATTTTTCAGAAGCGTTCAGTTATGTTGCAGGAAAAACTACTTAATCTATTTATAAAGAAAACCAAAATATGTATGGTATTTCCAAACGTTAAATAATTCGTATATAAAGTTAACATAACTGGTGTATGTGTTTATTTAGATCGTTTTGAAGTAATACAAATTGTGTTGTTCTACTGCAGGTGTTTGCGTGGGTTGCTGTTTTTGTGCTTCCTCTGAACGCTGCTATCAACCCTTTGTTGTATACCCTGTCAACAGCTCCTTTCCTTAGTCCAGCTCGAAGCAGAGTATCCAGGTTCCGATTTTCTCTTATTAACTCAATGAATGGTGATTCTCAGAAATCCATCATTGGTGAGCGTGATGTTTTAAATGTATTTTTCCTGCTGTTGTTTTTAGAAACTTACATATCATTAGAACCAATGAAATAATATTGAAGTTTATGCTCCAAAGAAATGCGTCCATGCTTCATTATCATGAAAGACAGCTTGGACTGTCTTTGCATGGCTAACTAGGTTGCGAAAAGTTCACTTTAGTGCAGCAGAAAATATGATATCAAATGTTCGAGTACAAGAGAGTTAAGCCTACTTACGCTGCTTATTATGTAATGAAATTAAATGAAGAATCCATAATTTATTTTTTCGAAATGTATTTCACATTATACGCTTATAAAGATAAAGCCACTTCACTACGTTGCCCAGGAAGCTGTCGTAATTAAAAAGCCAAAACCTTTTTATTACAAAAAAAGGAAGGAAAAGTAACTTAAACAATTTAATGAATTCTTTTTGAAATGAAAAACACTATATACACGCTTTCATGTGACATAAAATTTAGAATATGTGTGTAATTGAACTGGAAACTTGAAAACATTCGAAACAGAATTGAGGTCAAATTAGTGATTGCAATATATTATATATCTACTACAAAATGTTTAATTAAATTACACGACATTAAAAAAAAGCGTTATTGCACTTAAAATTTATCACTATAATACCATGTTTTGAAACTATGGGAAGCTAGCTGAAGGTGGAGTAGTTTTGAAGCGTAACGCAAAACTGTTTTTTTTTATTAAATGCTATTTCTTTGCGAGAGCTACACCAAGTGAAAGCGTTTTATAGACTTTTACAATGAATTTAAATTCATTAAAAGTTAAATTTTTTAAGGAAATATTGTACTACAGCAATATTAGTGTGCGCTTTTCACTTGTACTTAAAAAGTACTGTAAGCGGTAACATTTGCTTAAATAATAATTCAGCCTTTCTAGTTTGAAATGTATTTTAATAGTTTTTAAACGGATTTCAAGGATCACAATCCTCTTCCTATTGAAAATTTATTTAATTTTACGATGTTTAAGATTAACAAAAATTGAATCTTTTGTAATATAATAAATGTCTTCAGAGGGTTTTGTTTTCCAAATTAATAATACAAATTTTTTGATGCTAAAGGTACAATCCTTAGGAAAAATAATAAATACTTAAATACTTTCGTATTTACTTTCTATCAGTTTTACGGGAGCCGGATTCTTTACACTAGGTGTCTGTGACTTGTTGGCGATAAATTTAAACAATAAACGGACACCACACAATCCACTTGTTTTAAAATTATATATTCAAAATAAGTCAAGCGTATCTACAAATATTCGTTACACTGTTGGTTATCACATTTGTATCCAGAGCTTTAAATAATTTTCTCTTTTTCGTCAAAGTCCACACAGACGGGTTCAATTACTTTAAAAGACCCTATGAGAAGACAAATTATTCTCCTCTACTCGGTTATTACAATACAAGGCTGTGATACTCTCTTTAAAATCACCACTATAACTTTTGGTTACCACAGTTGTATCCAGAGCTTTAAATAATTATTTTATTTTCGTCAAATTCCATACAGGTGAATTCAGTTGCTTTAGAATAGCCTTTGACAAGACATATTATTCTTTTCTATCTTTTTATTACAATACAAGACTGTGAAACTCACTTTAGAAATCGCCCGTTACAACTAATTCAAACACAGTCCAAAATCACTTTTACTTTCACTTTCACTAATTTACTTGCACTAACTTGATCGCCTATATATATATATATATATACTGCCCAACTGAGGCCTAGAACTTTGTACAAACTATGAGACGTTATGATGTAACAATACTCAATGAAACAATGAAAAAAGTTAGAAGGTTCTACTAACATGACGCAATAATATAACAATCACCGACTAGTGAACTACATAACGTATGATTTGTACACAGTTACGTAAACAAACCTGCGATAAATTATCGCTTCTATAAATACAAAATTTAACACTCGCGCTTTATAACTATCAAAATCACAACTCTAGCAATATATTTAAATTAAACAGTGGTGTATGTCTAATACTTTCAGTGTGTTGTTCCCTGCAGCTTGATGATATATAATATTCAAATTCAGAGTTCGATACCCGTGATGGGAAATCACAATGAGTCTTTTCTGTAACTTTGTGCTTAAAAACAGACAATTTGATTGTTTTTGCCCTAAATGTTTGAATATTGGATTAATCGCTAATATTTTTTTTGAAGCTGTTCAGTGCATCTGGTGCACAAAATGAAATATATGGTTTTACAGTGTCCTTGCCTGATGTTCCTGCACGGCCTAATCATGCTTCTTCCTTACTGGATATCAATGGTGAAGTTGTTCCTTTGCGTGAGCTCGTATCTACTCGCCAAGAAGAACGAGAAGCGAAACATCATCTACGGCGCCATCTGGCAATAAAAAGAAACACAAATGTTCATAATCTCAAACCTTCACGGCAAACATACAACTTGAGAAAGAAGAAATATTCTGATGTGTGACCAAAGCTTACAAACGTTTCTTATAATCTTTAAAAAAAAAAGATACTTAAATATTTTTTTGTAAATTCATGAAACCTCATTTAATACAGTTACGTTAAAAAATAAAGTACTTGAAGCTCAATAACTGTAAATTAATAAAAATTAATAACATTTGAAAAAATGTTTTGGATAAAATATTAGTAGAAAAAAAAATCACTCATCCAACCACGATTAGCCACATGTTCAAAAGTATCAATAACAGTTGATAATTTGTTAAACTCAGAAGATGTATATTGATAAATGGCTAAGCATTTCAGAGTAAGAACTACTATTGTATTTTATGCATTTAATATACACTCACTGGCTATCATATTAGGTCCTCCAAACACACACATATTTCTAGTAATGGGCATGTGATGTGTCATATGGTTACGCATGTCTATTACGTGCAGAAACGTAGTGATGCCATGGCTAGTCTGAAAGACAATGGGTATGAGAAAGGGTTTCTTCGACTCCATAAAAGAATTATATTGAGGGCTGACTATAAGGAGTATCGTTATCAAAGACAGTTTCTTAACCGGCTGTTCAAAGACGTTTGTTATCAAAGCCTAATTACAGCGACAATAAAAAAAGTAAAAAAAAGAAAAGAAATATATTGGACAGATTTTTTAAAAAGCAACAGTCATCAGATTGTGTTCTAGTAGATCAATTTCTTAAATAATGGTGAGGATTCGACAATATCGATCTGATCGTACTATGCACAATTGAGTAATCGACTGTGCTCAAATTATCAATATTTGGTTTGAAGACTATGACATTGACCTCCGTCATCTTCTTTAGCTAGCGTAATCACGGAACTTCAATCCGACTGAGCATTTCTGGAATTATCTCGAACGTATTCGCCACTGTGATCCTCTGGCGACATCTGTGAATCAATTCCAGACTATACTTTTTGACGAATGTTCTACAATCATACCCGACACCTTCCTTAAGCCCAGGCGATTATCGAGGCAAAAGGTGGTCCAACCCGATATTAGGAGAGAGATCCTAATAAAACTGGCGGTTAGTGTATAAATTAGATTTCTTAAAGAACATTTCTAACTCTCTGAATTTCAAATAATATTGTTCTTGATATTGTTAAAAAAAAATTTGCAAAAATGTTGTTCTGTTTCCGACAGCTATGTTCATGTTCCCAAGTAACAATAATATTATTCTGTTTCCGACGGATATATTCATGTTCCCAAGTAACAATAATATTATTCTGTTTCCGGCGGCTATATTCATGTTCCCAAGTAACAATAATATTATTCTGTTTCCGACGGCTATATTCATGTTCCCAAGTAACAATAATATTATTCTGTTTCCGACGGCTATATTCATGTTCCCAAGTAACGTTACCGTCCTTCTTACCCTTGTTTCTATTAATATAGTTTTTAGTACGCTTTTACTCTTCAAACGAATTTTTCGTTCTTAATTTACTTTTATAAATTACTGAAGGCGCTATTTACTACAAGTTATATTCAGCTGTTAAAAAAGTACACATATATATATATATATATATATATAATTTTTAGGAACGCTGTGAAGCCTAAGATACTCCTTCATAGAATATGAAACAACAAACGAAGAAATTGTAATGGTTGTTTAGATGCTGGTATAATATTTGATAAATTATTTATAATTCTTACTACTGAAATGACTTTTGTGTTCATTCATTTCTGAGTAACAGAATAATGAACAATTATATTATGAAGCTGTTCAGTCCCTGTATCCCTTTCTTCAGTATGTGGCACATGGTAATAATATAAAATATTGTAGAAAATAGTTGTTTGGTAATTAATGTTCCAAATACCGATACAAATATTTAAAAAGATAACAGAGTTGCTGTTGTCACAATAAAAGATTGAGAGAATGTCTTAAACCTCCAGGTAAATTCGGTTCTCAACTAGCATAATTATGTTTTTCAATGTATTGCATCTAGTTATAATCAATTCTCAACCAGTATAATTACGTTTTCCAATGTGTTACTTAAATCTATAGTTTAAATCGGTTCTCAACTAGTGTAGTTATATTTTCCAATGTGTTTATTAACCTTCTAGTTAAAATCGATTCTCAACCAGAACAATTAACTTTTCAATATGTTGCCTAGACTTCTAGTGAAATCGGTTACAACTAGTGTAATTATGTTTTCAATGCGTTGCTTAATCCTCTAGTTAAAATCGATTCTCAACCAGAAAAGTTAAGTTTTTCAATATGTTATCTATACTTCTAGAGAAAATCGGTTCTCAACTAGTGTAATTAAGTTTTTCAATGCGTTGCTTAATCCTCTAGTTAAAATCGATTTTCAACCAGTATAGCAACGTTTTTCAGTGTACGTTGCCAATATAGCTTCCTTTCTCATTTAAATACAATTCACAAATTACCATAAGTCCTAACTTTACTAAAGTATTCTCTGACACTTACAGGATCAAATGTTTATTTATATATATACTGAATAAAGTTAACGAATGGTTTGAACTATCGGTGTAGATCGGATAATGAAATTATTAAAAAATTGACTTCTCCATAATTTCAACTTATTTGTTATGTTTCTTTTTAAAACGTGTTTATTCATTGTTATCTATACAAAGTATATTATAAAGAAGTCCGAATCACGATGTGGTTTGTTTTTGTTTAGTGTTGTTGTTCGTACTTTAATAATTTCAGACATTTTTTCATTATTATATAATACACATGTGTCTGTCAAACAACACAACGTTTCACCTTCCAATGTATGAGTTGTTATATCAGTTAATGAACTTATTCTTCAAATTAGTGTTTTTGTTAATTAATTTTATTATTTTTTCAAACAAATCGTATTGTATGCCATTAAGATAAATCATTATTCTTCATTTTACTGCAAGTTATTTAACGTCAGAGCTTACAGTAAATAGGTAAACTAAAGAAGTAAAATACGCTCTCAAATATAGGATAGACATTCAGAAGTTGCTCTCAAATATGGGATAGACGTTCAGACGTTGCTCTCAAATATAGGCTAGACGTTCAGACGTTGCTCTCAAATATAGGATAAACGTTCAGAACTTGCTCTCAAATATAGGATAGACGTTCAGAAGCTGCTCTCAAATATGGGATAGACGTTCAGACGTTGCTCTCAAATATAGGATAGACGTTCAGAAATTGCTCTAAAATATGGGATAGACGTTCAGACGTTGCTCTGAAATATAGGATAGACGTTCAGAAGCTCCTCTTAAATACGTGGAATATATATATATATTTCTAAATCAACAGCATATATACGAAAATTTGGAAATATTTACTATAGGTATTTGATGTGTAAACTGTTTACATACTACAACTGGTGTGCTTGCTGAATTTAGTATTATTACAAGGAGTATGTGAAATTAGCATCAAAATTAGCTTATTGGAATTGAACATTAGATTTGTAATTACATCTTGTAATTAAAGTATATCCTACCCTTTTATATTTTAAATGTAAATATTATTTATTTTCCCTTAAATTAGAATTTATTTTTCTAGGTAAGCTAATGTTCTCAGTTTTTTGAACTATTATGTCTAAATGTAATTGTATTATGTGATTAAAATATGTGTATTTCCTAAAACGTTAACAGAATGGAGGGGGAATAAAGGGAAAACGCATCGGGTTAACAGTTCATTGATTCATGTTATCCCCAACGAGGCGGTGAGTAACTTTACCAAAATATTTGAGCCGATCGTACTCGAACTATGAACCTGAGGATTTATGACTTGCATTCTGTTGCTGCGCACTTTGGATTCGTGAGTGAACTTTAAGAGTGACTGTCAGATTCCACTATTCGGTCAAATAAGAGTAATCCAAGAGTTGGCACTGGGTGCTATTGACTAGATGCCTTCCTTCCCGTCTATAAGCTCAAACTTAGGGACGGCTATGAGCAAATAGATGTAGTGATTCACATATTAACACTGCTCTTACATAACGACGACTCAGAATTATGCCCTGAGTTTGATTTATAAAAATAACAACAATAAAGAAGTACAGTAAACTCTTATTTGAGTTCGATTAAGCAAATATGGGATGGAGTGTACATAGATTGTAAAAATTAAGTAAAGGAAAACATATTAACGTTATTTTGAACAGAGATATGGTGCTGGTTCTCTTGACGAAGTTTCTAGTAACACCTGAATAATTAACCTATTAGTGCATACAAATTTACGTTATATTAATAAATTGAAAAGCATATAGATAAGTAATAACAAATATTTAAGTTTTGCTGACTGATATCCATTGTATATAGTACATTAAAAATGCAATAAAAATACATAAAGATACCAATACTGAAAAGAAAAACATACTGTTTTCAATAATTCTATCAATATGAAAGTAGATGGGGTCCAACCTTCCTAATGACCTTCCTAATGTCATCCTGTATTATTGTGTCAAGGAACAAATACACACGTATATTGTCGTTTATGTATACAGATAACCAGGAGTTATATCAATATTCTTATTAGCCGCGGCATAGCGTCTCACAGAATGGCTCCGAGTTGTTATTTTCTAAGTACAAACTTTTAAGCTCATAGCTCCGTCATCTCTTGACCGATTTGAGATCTAGTTACAGTTTTGGACTCAGGAGGTCAAATCGTTTCGACTGATTATTTGACCACGCCCAAGCTCTCATATATTAATTTACCATAATCCTGCCTAAAAGAATTTCAATTTGGTAGAGATCCTGATGAGTAATAAAATCAAATCGGGTATACGCGCGCCCCACGCTTGGTATTGCTGGCGCACAAAAAATTAGCTAATAAAAAGGGGAGAAAAAAGGTCTCATAGATTAATTTAATCTAATCCTACCTAAAATAATTTCAAGTGCCTCTTATTTTATTTTCAACAGCTTGATGTTTAGTACGTGTTTGTTTTTGTTTTTTTCATTTAAACTGTTATTTTTTTAGGTTACTAACATATTATGACGTCTTCAGTATTTATCATTTAACTGAATTCTGTAATATACTCCTGTAATACA